CAATATTCTAACTAAGATGTTCATGGATAGGTCCAGGTAAAACCCTCAAACTTTATTCATTCATGTGGCATGCCTTAGAGAACTGTAGTCAACATTATTCCAGGAACATCATAGCAAGCCTGTATCAGTGGAACCTGGATTTATGAGAGATACATGTGGATATTTTGTCTTGTCAAAGACACCCAAGACATGGTGATGTCGCACAGAGTTCGAAATAATTGCCGGCCCAAAGGCCCAGCGCCGGTTGTTATTGTATCAGGCCGGCAGTTTCAAATATTTGCAGGCCTTCAGTAAATTATCTTTTTTTCAACTGGAACCTTTTCCACAATTATTTTTTTGTAACGTTCGCAAATCATCCATGATCCATCATGTTACGATAACTTACAGTTTCACTTCCTGGTATTTCAGTGCTTTCCGCATAGTAATGTCAACACCTCTTTAACAAACATAAACTTCTCTCTGCACCATTGGCTTCACTAATTGATTTTGTAGAAACAGTGTGAAACTGTGCAGTCTATTTTGTTTTTATTGGTTTGACTTTAACAAAGTCACCGGTAGATATAACAATGTCCCTTATTATTCAAGATTCTGTCCTTTTTGCTACAAAAATAATCTTAATTTAGTTGAAGATGAAATACATGTTTTACTTTATTGTAAAGCCTACTTAGATATAAGGAATAAGTTTCTGGGTAAATCTTGTTTCTGAAAGAAACTTGTAATTTGTTTCTGTGCCACCATGTTTACATACACATGTGCAATTTTGACCAATCAAATTTAACCGAGATGATTCACTGCAGTATACAGTTTCCCTAGCAACCGAGATTCCCAAAACACCAGGTAAACCCAATGTTTCACTATCACGTAAATTCAAATATGGGACACTGCTTGAAATCAGACTAAGTGATATGTTTTATATAAATATGTCTGTAAACGATTCTAAGGCTGGACACCATTGCGGTGTCCGTGCATATCTCCTACTTTTTACGGTCCTTATCTGGAGCCCTGGTTCTGACAAAGAAAGAAAAATTATCAGGGCAAAACTGGCATTTTAGCCAACAATTACAGGATTCTGACATGACCAAGGGAGACAACTCTGCATAGCTGGGCCACCCTGCCTTTACCAGTCATAAAACTGTCACAGTGACTGATTAGGGACGTTTACCTGAATAAAGTATTCAATTCCAAAGGTTAATTAGCCTGCCTAGAATGACGTAATTGCCCTTGCTTATAAGATTTCCCATATTTTCTATAAATGGGTTTATAGTTGTACTTATTAGAGTAAAAGTGTTAGCAGCTTTTGGAGGCTGAGTCCCACTGGGATTCGAACCTATTCATCTTAGGGTAAGGAAACCAATCGGAGCAGCCTATCGAGCCCCCCAACCCCTACCCCAATTGAAGTCTGACAACTAGATCGCGTACTCTGAGTACCCTTGTCTGTCATACAGACCCTGAAACAAATATACCTATAAAGAATTTTCTGGATTTCATTTTCTTTTATTCTTTGATACAACCTTTCGGGGCCTGTTCCAGCTGGTGATGGGTCCGGTATAAAAGAAGATGAAATCAAGAAAATTCTTTATGTTCATCAAATAGCATCTTCTAAAATGCCAATCAAGCATTTAAATACGCCCGGTATCCATGAAAGCCTATGCAAGTCTAGAATATGTGGCAAGCCTAGATTACCACAGTTTCAGGGAAAATGAACACGTCTCTGGGCTCCTGTTTATTATATTTTACGTTTATAATTTAGGAACTGTTTTTCTGTAAAATGTTTTCATTTCAGAGGCAAGATGTGACGGCTCTCGTGACCAAGAACTATGGATACACTATGCCTTATAGAAAGTGGTTTTGGTTAATTGACTCCCATTCACGCTTTCCAGTGTGTGCCTAATGCCTGGCCCCAAGAAGATACAGGTTAGATTTGGTCTTCTGCAACCCTTGCTTGTCGTAAGAGGCGACTAACGGAATCGTGTGGTCAGACTCACTGACTTGGTTGACACTTCATCGTATCCCAATTGCATAGATCGATGCTCATGCTCTTGATCACTGGATTGTCTGGTCCAGGCTTGATTATTTACAGACCCCTGCCATATAGCTGGAATATTGTTGAGTGTGGCGTTAAACAATAAACCAACCAACCAGCCAGCCAAACAACCAACATAATGGCTGGCAAACAAAGTCAGCAGAATGTAATCCCATATATAACACATGTAGACTTTATTTTGTAACTCATTCCTGAAAGTCTGCTTTACAAATGGGGTAACAATATTAAATGTGTGATGCTATTTCTATCAAAAGACAGTACTCTTATTTAATAAACTGACATTGTTCTTTTTAGCAGGTGAACAAAAATCGAGAATGATAGTGTATAAATGTCAAAAATTGAAAGTAGGATATTCTAGGGCAGAAATATACAGGATAGACGGCAGAGTGAATGTTGTGTTATTCATAACGTAATTGGAAATAACAAAAATCGGCTAAAGCTGGTTGTTGAACATTCTCTTCCAACAGAGGTTACTTGTCATATCTTTTACGAACCTCTGTTCTAATACGACCATATTTCCTGGTTCTTGTGAAATCCCCTAGCTGCAAAAAATCGCAACACGAATTATCTCCCTTCTTTCTATCCAATCAGAACATGTGTTACATCGACTCAGATCCAACTTGACTAACATAAGCAAATGTGGGGCCACAAATATCCCTCCTCTGCCGGGGACTTGTGTTGATGTGACACACAAGACATTTAATGGCTAGCTTGTCCTTGCGAGTGATCACTTTTGAAACAACGTCTCTGATTGCACAACTAAATCTGATTGCAACCAATCATGAATCCTGAACACTCGCACCATGAAAGGGCCGTATCAGAACAAAGATTACATGGAAAGATATGACAAGTAACCTCTGTGGGAAGAGAATGGTTGTTGAATAGCTACTGTTATTATTCACACTTTTCAGACCAATATAACATGTATGTATCATGATTCTGGAGTTGTCAAGATTGCATCAACCTAACCTTATGTCACAACGGGTGACTACAACTTTAAGTGACCGTGTACATTCATCGATACATCAATCCATTGGACCCATGAAGAACCGGGTTCGATCGGACTTTAGGAACCCATGCTTGTCATAAAAGGCAAGTAACGCGATCAGGTGGTCAGGCTCCCTAACATTTTTTTCTTAAATAATTTGATTATTTATCTTGAACAGTATATCACGGTATTAGTGGAACCGCAGTATTCAGTCTAAGTAAACTTAGGCTCAGTATTATTCGTTACACTGCTATACTGAGTCTAACAAAACCTTGTGGAAGGTCGCGACAGGTAACCTTTTCAATTGACCAATCAGAACACAGCTTACCAAATCGCGAAAGTTGACATTCGCACATACCTTTTGAACTTTTACCTCGAAAAAGTTTTGTACCCGAACGATTCCGAATGCTATTTTCCGTACGATCGCTTCCAAGTGATGCACATGGAGCATGCCACAACAGTGAGTAAACAGTCGCTGAAAATAGCGTTTTGTCAGTATTCAAGGATGTCAGCTTGTGGAAATATTAGCTAATGATAACCATGTCAACAGAAACCCAAAAGCGTATATTCTGCAGGTCATATATCTGTGTTTTATGCGGGTTTTCATTTGTTGTGAGATCAGTGTTGGCTACCGGGGAAGAGTAAATCCATTTTGTAAGTCCCGCCCAACCCTAAATAGTAGCCATTGTCTGATTGGTTAAATCCGTTCTGTCGTCTCGTGTTTGATTGGACGGTCATAGCTCGCTCAAAGGTTACCTGACGCGACCTTCCACAAGGTTTTGTTAGACTCAGTAAAGCAGTGTAACGAATAATACTGAGGCTAAGTTTACTTAGACTGCACAGTATTTTGCCTTCATTTCGGTATACTGTAATGCAATTAAAAAAAATGTTCATTTCAGAGACTAGACGTTAGTCAATATCACTCCTGTCTTGTTTCTGTTCAATACCTGATGCTGTTTCAGTCTGATTGCTGTTCAGATTATCAACTCAGTTAATCAGGCTATCCCACCCCCCCTTGGTGCGTTTATACATAGATATACAACATTGTAGATAACAGATCTTTTAGATGTAGGTCAAGAGATACATGTATTTGGAGAAAGGGTAACATTTCATTATGACATGTTTATTACCCCAAATGTGAGTGATTGCAGATTCTTCAACCTGAAGTGGGAGTGCCAAATCTGTTAATGGGCAACAGTTACGGCAAACTTCTTCTAAAGTAGAAACAACAATATCCATTTTCTGAGTGAGTAAGTGAGTTAGTGAATGTGTTGGGCTTTACGCCACTGTTAGCAATATTCCAGCAACATCACGGTGGGGGACACCAGAAATGGGCTTCACACATTGAGCCCATGTGGGGAATCGAAGCCAGGTCTTTGGCGTGACGCTTTAACCACTAGGCTACGCCACGGCCCCTCCATTTTCTGAATAGATCTTGGTTACAGTTATCTTGTCCAATATATGTTGCTTACATAGATAGTCTTGGCCACTGTAAAAATGCTGTACTGATCAAAACTACATTTGAATTGAAAAATATCACATATATATATGTGGAGCATAATCTCCAGATTGCAATTGATTAAATATATCAATCACTATAAGATGTTTGGAACAGATCTGATGAACTTATCTTAACTAGTCATTAACTACAGTAAAATGCCAGTTGTAAAAAAACTACCCATGAATATATAGGTCTCTTAACTAGCTTTGTGAATGTTGTTAAGCATCAATGATAAAAATCAATACTGTTCATAAATGCTTTCACTCATTCACTGACAAAAACATACTGACTAGTGAGTGCAGATTTCGTGAGTGGTTTACTGCAACCATAGGTGTCACGGTTGAGTAGTTCCATTGCACCTTCTCAAGTTGACCACAAGTATGGCCGCCACCCACGGGATTGTGGGAAGAAGACGAACGACAAATAAAAAAACCCATAATTTCTCGAGCACTGCAGCAAACACTTACCCATCATCCTACCATGCAAACAACCCGCATCTGTCTTTCCCAGTCACAACATGTCTTTCTCGAGGCAAGAACAGTCTATCCGACTAATGCATCACTGATCTTCACGATGTTTTCGGTGAGATATACCCTCCGACAAGAAACACCTTTGTCCGCACGCGGCTGTGTTCGGGCGAGGTAGAATATGGTTACCGGAAACAGGTTCAACTAGTATGTGAAGCGCCTCGGAGATCCGTTATATGGCTTTTGTTAATAATCCATTTCATTAAATGAGAATTGCTTTTTCTGATTTGTTACTGGGGACATTCCGAAATGTATACTGAGTGTAGTTAACACGTAAACTTTAATGGGGTTCAAGTTCTAATGCGTACGGCTGCTGCCATGGTTACCACGTGACGCTCTGACGTGGTGTGGGGCCATTATCAGTCAAGGTGTATATGGACTGTCTAAACATGCAACGTGAGAACTATTTTAAAACGTTGCCTCTGGCTTGTCTTCAGGGCAATCGCTAACTAAATTAGCGGATCGATATACAAAACAGAATTTTAGATAGTTGATATATATATATATACAAGTGTTACGAAATTTGCTCCCTCTCTATATATATGACCGCCACTTTGCGTAGCCTAGTTCCATATTTAAATGTGTTCGTGGGATTCGAACCCGATCTTTTTGAAAACATCACAAACCCCATTCACAAACAACAATATATCTTTGGTGTATTCAAAAAGGTTTGTAACGCTAAAAATATGGTTACAATTAAATATATATAATCACCATGTCATCACATCATGGAAAATTGGTTGCACCCATACATCTTGGAGCTGCTAATATTATTCTGCGTCACAATCCTAATTGGATGGATTGAAATTTGCACACGCACGCACATACGTACGCACGCACACATGACATGAAGGTTAAAAAGTGAAATTGTCAAATCATCCGGATCGTTTGTCTCTGTTTAAATCAACATTGTATGCACGGATGGCCAGGGCCCCGTTCCTGGAAGCGATCGTAGCGCTAAGGTGATCGTAACTCCCATACTTTAACATAGACTTACGACTGTCGTAGCGCTATGATCGCTTTGAGGAACGGGACCCAGGTCAACTTCAGCTGATTCCGAATTCCGCTTTCACATCGATTATACTCGATCACTGATCGAACACCTCATGGGTTTCTCGAAGTAGTAGACACTATATACGACCAACCGACTGACGTTGATGAAACTAAAGAATTTTACAAAGCGGAAACCACTCACTTACACACTGTAGGTGAGTGAGTTTAGTTTTACGCCGCTTTTAGCAATATTCTAGCAATATCACGTCCGGGGACACCAGCAATGGGCTTCACACAGTGTACACATGTGGGGAATCGAACCTGGGTCTTCGGCGTGACGAACGAACGCTTTAACCACTAGACTACCCCACCGCCCCTTCAATTCTAGGTAGAAATATGGTGACATGGAGAGATACTAGCGTGAGTTAGCCTGGCTGATGGTCTCGCGTCAAATGATATAGTTGGGCTGTTTGAGGCCCGGGTTGGTTCAGGTGACCCCTGTCGCGATATTGCTGGAATGTTGCTAAGATTATCGTAAAACTATATTAACTCATGTTTTGTACACTCAGAGCTCGGAGGGACTGATCACGCTGAAAAAATATGCAAATTGGTGGATGACAATGAAAGAAAGCGGTAGGTATTTCTTCTCGTGATTCTTTATTTTCTCACCTAGCCATAACTGGACATTCGAGAGTTAATGTCATCATCATTTCTTAGTAGGCTTATATTACAAGGTCAATGGATCCATTTTGTTTGGTTGAATATAAAAGTTCCGCTTTGTTTCTTAACACCATGCGGGTGGTGGGGTAGCCTAGTGGTTAAAGCGTTCGCTCGTCACGCCGAAGACCCGGGTTCGATTCTCCACATGGGTACAATGTGTGAAGCCCATTTCTGGTGTCCCCCGTCGTGATATTGCTGGAATATTGCTAAAAAGCGGCGTAAAACCATACTCACTCACTCACTCTTAACACCATGCACGAGAATCTCCAGTCACTAACTGTGGGATGAGACTTCTTCCCAATGTATAAAAGGGGTAGGTTGTCATAGCGACGTTTGTTAGTTTTTGTGCAAAAGGGGTAGGTTGTCATAGCGACGTTTCTTGGTTTTGTGCAAAGGGGTAGGCTGTCATAGCGACGGTTCTTGGTTTTGTGCATAAAGGAAAGGTTGCCACAGTGACGACTTTTGGTTTTGTGCATAAGGAAAGGTTGCCATAGCGACGCTTCTTGGTTTTGTACAAAACGGGTAGGTTGCCATAGTGACATGTCATCTATTCCACGACTGCTTGGAGATATGAAGATTTGTCTCTGAAAACAAACAATTGCATCTGAAGTCCTTCCAACATGTCCAATGAATCTTCTTCAGATATACTCCGAGTTAACGCCACATTCTTTCTGAAGTCCAAACTCCACCTGTTTTAAAGATTAAATGCTGGTCCTAAAGTCCTGATGGAGAAAAGGATGTTTGTTTGTGTGTTTAATGCCATCTGGTGATATTGCAGATGTATGACGTTGGTCCGTAAGCAATCGATTCTGGGCCAGACAATCCAGTGATTGACATCATGAGCATTGAGGTGCGCATTTGGGATACGTCGATACGCATCATCCAGGTCAGCGAGCCCGAACACACGTTCCCGCTGGTCTCTTTACAACAGGAATGGTTTCCTAAAGACAACTCTAATCCCGACCGACCAATTACGAAAGCTCGCCAAGTAAATAATATTAGATCTTGCCGTTATTCCCAAATGTTTATATCGTCCTCACTGGGATACAACGTTAATTGTGTTTCAGATGTAATAAGTATTTTCTAAGATATTTCCGTGCAAACTCTGTCTGGCCAACTGGTTCGGCAACACGATTAACGGGAGGCATAATCACATTATTGTCATTGATTCACATTTAGAAGCCCCTGATCACATTATGCGTCAGAACGTGATATCACGCAAAGGTCACGCCTCTGCCTTATACCCGAGTTTTGAAAACGTATAGCACGGCAAATGTCAATGATCTCAATTAAGATTGATGCTTTTCAGCGGTGTATTTTCCGTTTTTATGAGGGTTGGGGCACAACTTGTTCCAGTGATTGAACTTAATTTATGAGGCCGATTAAAATGTATTTCTGTCAACACAAGCGAAATAAGATTAATGTGGATGACAGCTGTATTGGGGTTAAATACGCTAACCACAGTGTGAAACGTGCGCGAGTGGGCGTCTGATGGGGCGAAAATTAGGGTGAAACTGGGATTCGAACTCATAAATCCACGGACCGATCTTCGCGCTACAATTGTCACAAATTCATGTTAAAATATGGGAGTTAAATTCTTCTGGTGTCACTAAGGTCACAATAGGGAAAAGGTCCACGTGGATCCTGTCGCGGCTAAGGTAAGCAACTCTCAACGGTAAGTTAAGCCGTTTTACAGGACTTACATTTTCACGGGGAAATATTGCATAATAGTACGTGCTTATCATGCACGTGTGGATCTAGGGATAATGTTGTGGCTAGATTGTTGTCCCTTCGTCACATTACGTTAAACTGACCTAAGGAAACTCGAGATAATAACAGCTTCGAGATAACAAGAGTAGTGTAAGGTAACCTAAGGACTCCCTTATTGGAGACATAACGGCAACATTCCAGCTATATGTCCTCGGTCTGTAAATAATCGAGTCTGGACCAGCCAATCCAGTGATCAACAGCATGAGCATCGATTTATGCAGTTGAGATGCAATGACATGATGGTATTAGCCAAGTTAGCAAGCCTGGCCACCTGATTCCGTTAAAGATTATGGGTTGCTGAAGACCAATTATATACCCCAGATCTCCACAGATCTGCATCGTGTAAAGAAATTGAATTCTTGCTAATGTGATAATGTGATGCATGGCTAGATATGCCAACATAAACATAATGGATGATACTGTAATTCTTGAAGTCACCCCTTGCCGACACACCACATTTGAATAAACCGTTTGGAAGGGACATATACTAAACCGGAACCTCGTTTATCCAGAACACTTTATCGGAACCCCGTTTATCCGGAACCTCGTTTGTCCAGAACACTGTTTATCTCAATCACACTGTTTACTGTCAATATGTACTAATCACGTACTGTCGGTTAGGATTAATGGAGAGGTTATGTCATTTTCATGATTTCATGATATTTATATATAAAGGAGTGTGATTTTAACGCCGCTTTGACAACTGCTTCATATCATGTAAAGGGTTGTTTGGAGAGAGTAAAGTGGGTCTCTCGTGTTTACCACGTACACGGAACAACCAAAGAAATAATCGAGCTAATTTGGCATCGAACCAGCGATCAGATCTGCGGATCGTACCACTACTATTGTGCACCAAACCAGGTACGACATGCGAACGCACAATCCTTTAGTCTATATGCCTCACCGAGTGGTTAAGACAATGCCTGTTCATTATCACTATCAGACAACATCATCCCATATGTTTTACATACAGCGATGACTATATAAACACTTCCTATTCCAATACTTCACACAATCAGATCATCCAATTTCCACCTATGTTATCGATCTCGGCCCAACAACAGATAATAATATCTATGTATATTATCAGAGATATCAATCACGACCGCCGTTAGTGAGGTGAGGTGTAATTGGGTTTTACGTCGGGATTGAGAATTTTTCGCTCATATGACGACGTGTATGCGTGTGTATGTGTATGTGCGGCTACTTGTACTAGCCCAGACATAAGCTGGTTTTATAGTGCTAGCCCACTGAGATACCATGCCGCAGTTAAGCATGAATACCCCACTCAGACACATTATGCTGACTCCGAGCCGACCAGTCCTTGTTGTACCCATTAATGCCGAGCGCCAGGCAGGGACCAACAAGTACCATATTTTAACGTCTTTTGGTATGACGCGGTCGGGGATCGAACCCACGACCTTCCGCTCTCCGGGCGGACGCTCTAACCACTACACCACGGAGGCGGTCGACCGGCGTTAGTAGTATATAGGTGAGAGAAATGGCCGTCAAGCAGTGCTAACACTACATATGTATCGCTGTATTCATGTACATGTATACTGAACAAGAAAAGATAGGGATCCTGAACATTTCGGGGGATGTTAATGAATTT